TGAGACCATCCTGGTCAACACGGTGAAACCCCGTCTCTACTAAAAATACAAAAATTCAGCTGGGCATGGTGGCGCGTGCCTGTAATCCCAGCTACTCAGGAGGCTGAGGCAGGAGAATTGCCTGAACCCAGGAGGCGGAGGTTGCGGTGAGCCGAGATCGCGCCATTGCACTCCAGCCTGGGTAACAAGAGCGAAACTCCGTCTCAAAAAAAAAATAAATAAAATAAAATAATAATAATAATAATACTAACTCGGGCCGGACATGGTGGCTCATGCCTGTAATCCCAACACTTTGAGAGACCAAGATGGGCAGATCACTTGAGGTCAGGAGTTCGAGACCAGCTTGGGCCAACATGGCGAAACCCCATCTTTACTAAAAATACAAAAATTAGCCGGGTGTGGTGGTGCGCGCCTGTAGTCCCAGCTCAGGAGGCTGAGGTGGGAGGACTGCTTGAACCCGGGAAGCAGCAGTTGCAGTGAGCTGAGATCACACCACTGTACTCCAGCCTGGGCAACAGAGCAAGACTCCATTTCAAAAAAAAAAAAAAGCCCTCAAGTCAGATGACCACTCTGCACCATTTGCAGCATGTTTTATCCTGAATTCACCTGGTAATTGGAGTGGGCATCTGTGTTAGCTAATTGTCTTTATCCAGAAGAAACAGAAACTCATATCTTTATGATGGATGATGGATTGTTTTGCAACTTGAAACCTGATACTGAAGTCAGGCTCCTAGCCTCCTGGGAGACTGGGTGATAAGGGTGCTATCTTGATGTTTACCTTCCAAACAGATGCCTCTGAGGCCCCTGGGAAAACATTCCTGGCTTATAAAACTGGCAGGAGGCTCATTTGACATTTAAAAAGACACACGTCTTAAAGGAACAGAGAAATCAAGTTTTCCAAAGTGTTTGCTCTAAATTATTTAAGAACAGGATGCCTCTTTCCTTTTCTGCACCAGAGAGAATTATTTTATTTTATTTTTTGTATTTGCCCTTACAAAAGCATTTGGGTTTCCAGTCAGTCCCTCCCAGGAAGGATGTTGGAGTGGATAATGATCAAGGAGTTTCTCTGTACTGATGTAGGAAGTTGCCCCAGAATTAATTATATGTGCACACACACAAAGTAGATGCAGAAGAGGAGGTGGAGTGTGGCGCTGTCTGTGCTAATGTGGCCTGACGAGGACCAGGTGGAGGGCGCATGGACATTTGGAAAAGGCTCTTCTCTGGCTTTGCTTTCCTGCACCATCCTTGGAAGACTTTTTTTTTTTTAAGATGTCTCTGTTGCCAGGCTGGAGTGCAGTGACGCGCTCTTGACTCACTGCTACCTCCAAATCCTGGGTTCAAGAGATTCTTCTGCCTCGGCCTCCCAAGTAGCTGGCACTACAGGCGCATGACACTAATTTTTGTGTTTTTAGTAGAGACGGGGTTTCACCATGTTGGCCAGGATCTCTTGACCTCGTGATCCATCCACCTCAGCCTCCCAAAGTGCTGGGATTACAGGCGTGAGCCACCGTGCCTAGCCCATCCTTGGAAGTCTTCAGCCCTTACGGTACAGTGCAAGATCCAGCTCTTAGCCTTCTCAGCACATGAGGATGAGAAAAGCACCTCCCCCCCAGGACTGCTGTGAGGATGCACCGAGCTACTATGTGCAAAGTGCTTGGCACCACACTGGGAAACAGTAAGTGCTCAATAAATATCATCGAAAAGCTGTCTCACTTTGTGAGGATATCCACCACAGACCCTTGATGTCCCCAAACTACACTCTGCCTGCCCTGGCTCTACCCCCAGCTGAAATGCAGTTTTGAGGCAGGCCTGAAACATGTGATGTTCCTACAGACACCAAGTGACCAGCTAGGTAAATTCTCTGAAGAATGAGATCAGGGCTGGATGTGGTGATTTACATGTATAATCCCAGCACTTTGGGAGGTTGAGGCAGGAGGATTGCTTGAGCCCAGGAGTTTCACGCCAGCCTGGGCAACATAACCAGACCCTGTCTCTACAAAAACTACAGCAATTAGCTAGGCATAGTGGCACATGCCTGTGGTCCCAGCTACTCACAAGGCTGAGGTGGGAGGATTGCTGGAGCCCAGGTCAAGGCTGCAGTGAGCCATGATGGTGCCATTGCACTCCAGCCTGGGCAACAGAGCAAGACGCCATCTCAAAAACAAAAGAGAGAGAGAGAGAGATCAGAACTCCAGACTCAGTCACTCAGTCCAAGGGTTGGGCTTTCCCAAGGATGCTCCTGCAAGCTGGTATCTCAAGGCAAGTATGAGAGAAGGATGTGAGGTAAGGCAGAAGGTGCCTTCCAGGAGGAAACTGCAATTTGAAGGCCAAGTGGTAGAGCCAGCAGGATGCATTCAAGTGCCTGAAAGGAAGCCAGGGTGCGGATCCAGAGAGAGACACAGGATACTTGGAAAGCCAAGATCATGGAGCGATGGAGGGCTGCTTTGGCCTGCATGACATTGAAAGGGACCACACCAGATGCAAGCAGGCTCAGAAGCCACTGCAGCCATCCTGGAGAGAAATAATGTCATCCTGGGTAATCGCCCAAGGGGTTCACTTTACCTGCTCCCTAGACAAAGCTGGTTCATCAAGACAGGCGACTTGCAATAGAGAAAGAGTAATTCACACAGAACCAGTTGTACGGGAAACTGCAGTTTTATTCCTCAAATCAGTTTCTCTAAGCATTCAGGGAGCAGAGTTTTTAAGGGTAACTTGGTGGGTGGGAAGAAGCCAGTGAGCCAGGAGAGCTGATTGGTCAGAGATGAAATCACAGGGAGTGGAAGCTGTTCCTGTGCTGAGTCAGTTCCTGGGTGGGGGCCACAAGAACAGATGAGCCAGATTATTGATCTGGGTGGTGCCAGCTGACCCATCAAGTGCAGGGTCTGAAAAATATCTCAAGCACTGATGTTAGGAGCATTTTAGGGAGGGTGGAATCTTGTAGTTTCCAGCTGCATGACTCCTAAACCAAAATTTCTAATCTTGTAGCTAATGTTAGTCCTACAGAGGCAACTTAGTCCCCAGGCAAGAAGGAGGTCTGCTTTGGGAAAGGGCTGTTACCTTCTATTTAAAGTATAAACTAAGCCCAGGTAGTGGCTCACGCCTGCAATCCCAGCACTTTGGGAGGCCGAGGCAGGTGGATCACAAGGTCAGGAGTTCGAGACCAGCCTGGCCAACACGGTGAAACCCCACCTCTACTAAAAATAAAAAAATTAGCTGGACACGGTGGTGCGTACCTGTAATCCCAGCTACTAAGGAGGCTGAGGCAGGAGAATCGCTTGAACCCGGGAGGCGGAGGTTGGAGTGAGCTGAGATGGTGCCACCGCACTGCAGCCTAGGTGACAGAGTGAGACTCTGTCTCAAAAAAATAAAATAAACATAAAGTATAAACTACGTTTCTCCCAAAGTTAGCTCAGCCTCCGCCCAGGAATGAACAAGGACAGCCTGGAGGTTAGAAACAAGATGGAGTTGG